AATCCATGGCTATAGACTTTTATTGAGACTAACTTGGAAACTAACTAAGTGGCAGGGGAAGATGGGTTATAGGTTCTGCGATTTCCTTAGTGCTATCTTTCTGGAACAACGAAAGGATGCAAAAACTGAAACGGATCGAAGGTATTGAAAAGAGTATCATCTTACCGATCTTGTCTTCATTACTCATAGCTCTTTTTATTTACTAAGCTTATTGAATGGATATGACTGATGCAGGAGAGGCAGAGTTAGTTGTGGAAGGGGTAGAGGCTGTAGCAGAAATGGTTGAGAAAGTAGCTACGGCGACAGACGAAATGGCTGAAGAAATGGCAGAGAAATTGCCTGAGAAAAGTAAACTAAAACAAGTGGCTTTGGTTCTGGAACACGTTTCAGAGGCTGCTGCTCATGAAGCGCATGTAACCCAAGATTTCCTTCACAAGGTACGGCTTTTATCATTCTGAAATGTTTTATAAATCTTGCTAAAAAGATAACACTTTGAATATATGATGATAGTATATAACCTCTGCTTTTGGGGCCAAATATTTGAGGATTTGATAAGTGATTGGGAAAGTCAAAACTTAACAAACTGTGCAGGTGGAGAAAGTGACGCAAGATATGGATGACTTGGAGGCAATGGTAGAGAAAATTGTGGGAACAAAGCAACAAGATGAAGAAAAAGAAGCAAACTCTGAGTCGCCTTCACGCCACTAATTTGGACGCAAACCAAAACTCTGTCTATTAATTTCTTCATTCTTTTCAAAATGTGTTCAATTCAATATAAGAATCTTGTAATATCCTTTTACAAAAAAAAAAACTAATTGAAGAATCCTCATCCACATTTTCTGTGGGAAAATTTTATGAACAAAGAAATACAATGATCCAACTCAAAATCCACCAGAAACCCGATTCATAATAATCTCTCTTAACAAAGTAGTAAACCACAAGGGAGAGATCTAGAATCTAACGGTGGTGGGGCCAAAGCAGCTAAGGCCCATGACTCTCTCCATGGATTTAGCCTTAGGATCTAACGGTGGTGGATCGTCTCTGACTAAATCAGCCGAAGAAGATGGACGGGAGGTAACAGCGATGGCACGGAGACGAGGTTTGACATCTTTGTTGAAAACACGGAGAGGGTAGTTCCACCGAGCCTCCACGGCGGCGATCGCAGTCGCCACCATCCACGAGGTTTGCCTTGCACTCATCACTTTTTTATTTTGATCAACACAAAAAGACAAGACGAGAGAGACTAGGGTTTTAGTAATGGAGGTTTTGGAGACTGACACAATTTTCCTTTTTGCCACAATTTGCAAGCCTTCATTTCGGTACTAAACCATTTCAATAACCGGAGGAGTAAATTTGTTAAATGATTTTATTTCAACCAGGGGTCGACATTTCGATTTTGGTTTGGATTTTTTTTTGGTTCGGTTAATTTGGGTGTAATAAGCTCTAGCCCATCGCAATCGAAGC